CAGAGGGGACGCTGGCCCCGAAGACGACGGTGTCCCACTGAAGACCTGGCACACACCCCGCGAGCCACCAGGGGGTCCTGTGCGGGCGCAGACCACGGTAGGCTTCTCTGATGGGGCGGGATCAAGGGGTAGAGGCCAGTCCCCAAATTTATCCTCAGCAGAGCAAACATCACTCCCTCCCTCATGTGGCTGGGGGTGCACCTGGCGGCCCACATGGTCCTCCAGGCCTCAGTCCCCCCATCTGCGTAACGGGCATGGTAAGAAGTGCCCTGCACATCTCTCAGAGGGTGTCCAGGCAAAGAAGACAGACCAGATGTGAAAGCGTCAGGTGGACATGTCAGGGGTTAAGGATCGTCTCAGGGTTGAAGGGCAGAAGAGGGAGCACAGAATGGAGAGGACGGAATCCTGGCCTTGTGTGATTCTGGAGAGGTCACCTCTCTGGGGGTTTTGATTCCTGGATTCCCAAGAGACCCTCAAGTTCCCCTTTCCCCAGGGCAGTGGAGGGTTCTGAGCCCATGGAGGCCTAGCTTTCCTTCAGATGGAGACATGGCAGGCAGAGTGTCCTTGTCCCTCCAGGAGGGGCTGCAGTGGGTTGTGGGGTGGGTCCTACTTGCCTCTGCTTTGTGGCGAAGGGTGAGGATCTTTGCCAAAGTGAAGTCCCTCATGGGAGGCTCTGGGGTGTGTGGTAAGTCAAGGTCATGGTCCCTACACTTTTGACCTTGGGCTGGCACAGGACTTGACCACTCTGTGCTTCACTTGCTCTGTACGATGGACCTAACTGTGGAAGCACCAGGTCAGGGGCCGTGGCGGGGAGGAAGGAAAAATATGAGCAAAGTCTGCACAGAGCTTAGCACCAGAGGGGAGGCGCCTTGGCACAAATAATCCTAGAAGGGGCTCGACCACAATCTTACCATCGACAGTTCCTGAGGACTGGGAAGAGGTTTCCAGGAGGGCAGGGACACTGTCCCCAGGGCCCGTCCTGGGTGGGGACTAGGTGGTCTCGGGGCCTGAGGTAGGTGGGAAAGGGCAGCTGTGTCCCTCCTTCTCCTCTTCCCGCTCCCAGAGCTTCAGGAAGCGCTGGGCTGGGCCGAGGCCCCTTCAGGACTCCTCGGCCTGTCCCCTTCCCCCTGCCTTGGCCAATGTCCTCTCGCCACCCTCCATTCTGAACCTCAGACATCCCTGTGCACTTCCTCAATCCCCAAATCCTGATCTGCAGTGTTCTGGAAGAGGCACTGGCCGAGCCAGGCCAGCCTGGGGCTGGTGGTGCCGTGGCCATGGCGCCTGCTGTCCGCCGGGCAGTGGGGGGCGCTGTAGTCCGCAGCTTGGAGCCCAGCTGAGCGGCCGGGCGTTGGAGCACACTGGGCATTGAGCCCTGGACCTGGCCCCTCACTCCCTCTGGGACGGGCTTTCCAGGATGCTTGCGAGGCTTTTTCTATCCCCCCAAACGCGCCTTTTCTAGCTCCTTGAAGACCAATGGCTTCTCTAGGCCCGTTTTACAGATGGAGAAAGGGAGACTCCAAGGAGCTTCTTTCTAGAATTCTCACAGGAAATCAGGGCAGAAATTCGGAGTTCCTGACTCCCTCTCTGGGAATCCCAGTGAGGCAAGCAGCCCACGCTGTTGGGGATGTGCCACTAATTTGCTGCGTGACCTTGGAAAAGCGATTTCCCCTCTCTGAGCCGTACCCGTGAAGTTTTATCAGCTTGGATAATAATGTCAGGAACTCAGACACGTCTTCAGTGCCTGCCAGGGTTTTCCAGAGGGAGTTGCTAACCTCCCAGGTTGACGACACATTGCTTCCCACTTTGTAGACATTGGAACTGAGGCCTGAGCTATGAGATCACCTGTCTGAAGGTCCACAGCTTATAAATGGCAGAGCTAGAACTGGACCTGAGGTCTGGCTGATTGTAGAGCCCACCTTGTGCACCCCCTACCCACCAACCTCATCTTGCCAGACTTTTCCCTTTATAAGTGAGGATCCTGAGGCCAGGGCCAGCAGAGGCTGGGATGGGTTCTAAGTTCCCACAAGCTGACATTGCTCTGCCTGAGGGCAGAGAACTACAGGCCACCATCCTCCCTCTAGGAGGAGGGTCCCTGCCACCAGCCCGCTGGCCAGGGCAGACGCGGGAGAGATGCGTCTGAGGGGCTTGCAGGGATGCTGGCTCTCCAGACAGCTCACTGTGATCCCTGGGCAGGCTGGTCCCAACCAGAAAGGGAGGAAGTGGAAACGGGGTCCAGGGTGGGGCGGGGTGGAGAAGGCTGGCTGGGCAGGAGATCAGAGCAGGATTGTGTCATGGAGTCCTGTGGCTGATAAGCAGCTGAGCGGCCAGCCCAGACAGAAGGAGGGGCTCCCCGGGGGCGAGTCACCCTTGGGACCCCATGGCCCCCTGCTGCCAGTGATCCCCCGCCAGACTGCCCAGACCGCACTTGGCCTCCTAGCTCCTGATTTCAGGAGGCTGGCTCCATTGCATCCTGTGAGACCTTGGGCAAATCATTCCACTCTCCGAGCCTCAGTCTCTGTGCCTGTAAAACCAGGATTAAAATGCCTCCCTTGGAGATGGGGATTAGGACTGGAGATAACAGGCTACTCTAGTGAATGCTTTATAATGGTTTGTTTGGGGGACATCGGTGTGAGAGAGGCTCATGAAGGCCTTTGGGGCTCTTGGCGTGCCAACCACATGTCCCCAAAAGAGTGGGGAACAGGAGTGGCTCATGGGTGCAAGATTGGTGGAGACGAGCATCATACCCAGGTTGCCTAAAGGATCAGGGGGCGGCCTGGACCTCTCCTCCCAGCTCCCCACGAGCTGCTCCCTTACCTGGTCCATCCCCCCCTGACGTCAGAGAGCTCATCCTTTCTTCTCTTTCCAGGGAAGAGGATGGTACAACCTCAGCGGGGCCTCATTCCCTCCATCCTCCCCACCCATTGGGACAGGGCCACTTTACTCTTTCCATCTTATCACCTCCCACCCACCATCCTCAAAACATTTCCTTAGTCCCTGTGGGCACTGGGGGACAGTTTAGGGAGAAGGCCTGGCTGCCTCCCTGACATCATCTCTGGGGTCGAGTCAGGGTGGCCCCAGTAAGCTTGATTCCAGGTGGGGGGTAGGGGGAGGGAGGCCGGGTCCCACCTTGGTGCCGGCCAGTTTCAGGCTGAGTAGGTCCGTGGGGCTGCTTCCTGTTCTATTTATTGCCTCTGAGTTCAGGAAATCATTGAGTGAAACATCCTCCCCCACCCCCTGCCCGAGATTATTTAATAGGAGACGAGCTGTGGTCTCTCTCTTTTGGAAAATCCAGTGGGAGAAGGAAGCTGTCAGCTCAGCCCTGACATCAGCTTTGTCCCTGTGCCAAGAGTCAGGGTGGCCAGGGCGGGGGGTGGCCTAGGGCAGGGTGGGGAGGAAACCAGCTGCTGGTGGCCCCTGTGACGTGAGGCTGCCACACGGTTCCCAGGGACAGGGGCTGGAGGGTGAGGAGCAAGGATCGCTGGAGACACACATGGGGCACACGCGCACACACGCACAGGGTCACACTTCCCACTCGTACCGAGACCCCCACCACACACAGGCTCTCACAGACATGGGGTCAGACCCACACTTGTACAGGATTGATGCACACGGTCACGCACACATTCACAAGCACACAGAGGGCTCACAACGTCAGCCAGAGTTGTGCATGCTCCAGCTCTCTCCCAACTACACACGGGCAAACAGATCAGCACAGACATAGCTGAACATAGATGTGCAGACACACAAAGGCTCTCACCACACACGCACACACATGCAATGCCCACTCAGGCCCAGACGGACCCGTGGGAGACCTGGTGGGTGCTCCTAGACACAGGCTGGGCTTCTGGGTCTCCGGCTACCCTGGAGGGAAGAATGCAGCCACTTCTTCCTCCCACTGCCCTCGGTGAGATTGAAGGGGTCCCATGTGTGGCAGAGTGAGGACAGGCCCGTGACTATCCTGGGCCCTACCCATGGGGAGCGGGAATAGGAAGGGGAATCCAGGGGTCTGAGGCTTTGGAGGGAATGGACGGTGAGAGGCTGGGCCCTGGGAGGGCCTTTGTCCCAGCTCAGGGTGATGCCAGGCCTCCGCCCCCTACCGTGAGCACCTGCCTGCCCCACCCCGCCTGCAGCACCTCTTGCCCATTCCTGAGCTGCAATGGATAGCGGCTAAGTTGGAAGTCAGGAGACCCATGCTGCCAACAGCTGAGTGACCTTAAGCAAGTCACTCCTCAACCCTCAGGGCCTGGCTTTCATCATCGATACCAGTGGCTTACAAACGTTTTTGACCGTGACCCATAGTTAGAAACACATTGTACCTTGCAACCAGAGGATGATGTACACAGTGACACATACAAACAGCAGAAAGAAAAACTTTCGCGGAGCAGTGTTTGCCCTCGCTCCAGGCGATGCTGGGTAATTTTGCTATTCCATTTCCTTTTTGAAAGTGCTGGCAGCAAACTCTTTAAATTGAATCCATGATGCACTAAGAGGCAGAGATCCACAGTTTGAAAAGCTAGCTACATCTGTGTGCAACGATCTAGGGCTAGTTCGAGATTCAGAGAGGGCCTGGAGGAGGTTGAAGTCTTGCAGAAACAAAAATGCACACATCCACTAAGTGCTGATGAATGAACGGGGCGGGGCAGAGGGGAAAGCAATCCATTCTACAGATGGAGACACCGAGGGTGGAGTGTGCAACAGCATGGCTCTCGGAGCCAGGCCTCTGGCCCTACCAGTAATTGAGGCTTTGTGGGCTGTTTCTTCCCTTGCAGTTTCTATCAGAATTGAGGGAAAAATGCTGTCATTCTGATTCACCTCCAGGGGATTGATTTCTGAAGCAGAACCAGTCTCGGGAAATGTCAGGGTGATGCTGGGGGCAGTTGGCAGGAGGCCAGGGCAGCTTCTGGAACTTCCTTGGCCTCAAGTGGGTATAACTGGTCCCTGCCAGAGATTTGATGGGGTGAGGGTGAGAAGGGGCAGACAATAGGCCTGGAGCCTGGGCCTGAAGAGCCCCAAAGGCAGCTGGGCTCTCCAGGGCCCCAAGGTGGGAAATATCGCTTATCCCCCTGCTGAGGCTCTAAGAGGCTGCCTGTTCCCCTAGGACCCACACCACGATCTGTGTGCTGAGAGGACCCAGGAGCTCTCCCTGGCTTAACTCTCAGACCAAGGGTAGTGCACTGACCCCTGCATCCAGGCCCGACCCAACCCCCCCACCCTCCCCGTGGCCACCCTGAGCCCTAGTTAGAACGATTGCCACATGTTAATTACTTGATCTGTATTTCCCATTTAACATTCTCACGACAGCCTCACGAGTCCGGCACTACAGCAATCCCTACTTTCAGAAGGAAAATTGAGGCTCAGAGAGAGGAAGTCAATTTGCTCCAGGTCACACCATTAGTAAGTGGTGTGGGCAGGATTTGAACCCAGGTTTGTCTGGCTCTTAGCCATACCTTTACCCACGGAGACCATCGCCAGCCTAGCCCCAGTCAGCCCAAAGGTGACAAGCAATGCTGAGCCAGGGGCCACAGGAAAGTCCATGAGAGTGCGTAGATGGTTCCATGGTGCTGCAGGATGGAGGTGAGGGGCCACACGTGTAGTAGCTACACGCTCACTTCTCAAGTGCCGAATAATGAGGTGCTTTTGTCTTTTTGGACAGGACACCCAATTGCCAGGGCTGTGCCAGGAATTCCTGAACTTCTCTCATCTCCTCTGGCTGTCCCTCGCCAGCCCTGGTCCTGAGCCGTACCTTCTGGCCCCCACTTTCCTCTCTGGGGCCATCTGACTTTCCCATGCTCATCTTCCAGGTGAGAACATCATGGTAGGGGCTGGGCTTGAGCTGATGGCTGAGAGCAGCTGCTGGTTTTCAGAGAACTGAGAGCTTAGCTGAGCATAGGGAAGGGGAATGGTGAGAGAGAGAAGGAGGGGGACAGCCTGGGTACTGGGGCTTGCCCGGAGTGCTCAGTTTCTGGGTCACTGGTCTTGGGGAATTCCCCAATGCCCAGAGAGCTGCTTACCTGGTGACTAACTGCTGCTGGCTGCCCACACAGGATGCCTGACTGTCAGGGTACCTCCCTGCCACCTTTCTGCCAATGGCCATTGCCATGCTGCCCTCTCCTCTGAGTGCCCCCAGGGTGCAGGAAAGAGACAGACAGGCAGGGGGCTGGCCCCCCGCCCCCACACCCCCTGGGGCTCCACAGGGAGTGGCTGGTGATTCAAGCCCCTCTGAGCCGACCTATGTCTCCTTCCTTCTCAGTAGGGGCCTGAGGGGTGAATCAGCTCCTGGGGGCGGTGAGGTCGGGTCAGCCACTGTCCTTAGCTCAGGCCTGGGGTGAGGGTGGTCAGGGGCCAGGATAGGACATGGGGAGAGTGAGCACACTATCATTTCAGCCCCCTATACAACCCATCTGATTTTTCGGAGGCACTTCTGAAGCTGGAGTCTGTAAGGGTGTCTTGCCTCCATTATCCGTCAGAAGTAGGTAGACATGTCTCTCTCTTGCCCAGGCTTCCCACCTTAGCCCTGGAGTGCACCCAAGTTTCCTCATCTGTTAAATGGGGATAAGAACCTCTATTTCACAGGAAGGTGGTGAAGACCAATGCTGACATGCAAAGGGCTTGCTGGGTGCCCAGAACTGCGCTGAGCCCTGAGCCCTCACAGCAAACCCATAGCGTAGGTACCTTCGTTCCCATTTCACATACGAAGGAACTGAGACCAGGAGGTGATCGCTTCCCCAAAGTCACCCGGCTCACACCAGGCAGAGCCAAAGCTCCAACCCGGTTCTGAGTGAGGCCGAAGTCCACTCTTCAGACTCTACACCTCTCCACGACAGGTTTGGCACACACAGCTTTTGGAAATCATAAAATGCTTTTTAAAAATACTTAGTATCTACTCTGGTATAACCCCGAGCCACGTGCTGTCGAGAGTACAAATGAGTGTCAGACCCTATCTAGGACTGAGGAATAAGACCTGTCCTTACCTGAAAGGACGGTGGGCAACACTGGACAGAGTCTGCCCGTCTGGGCCTCGAAGAAGTGGCCTTAGTGCTCCTCGTTCCCCTTGTGGCGTGAGGTGCTGCTGGCCTCGTTGTGGCCAGCAAGCCAGAGACCTCGCTCTATTGTTAACTTTCTGTGCAGCGCTGGGCAAGCGCTTCACCTCTCTGAGCCTTAGTTTCCTCACCTGACAAATAAAACATCTGTGACATTCCAGGAGAGGCTAGTGGGTAAGAATCAGCAGAAAAGGAGGGACTGGGTGGTGGCATGTGCCAAAGTATGTAGAAGAAAGAGCCCTGAGGGGCCCTGGGAAGGCCCCTGGCAAGCACATGGGCTCATTTCCTAGAGAGGGAAGATGAGCAAGTGAATGAATGGCATGGCCTCCTGGAGATAGCACCCCAGAGCCCTGGCCTGGCAGCCCCCTGCCCAGGCTGAAGGCAGGGGACCATGTGGGGTCCATGTGGGTCCCTACTATCCCTCTCATCCTGAGGCCAGTCACATCCCCAGCAGGCCCAGTGTGCAGAAGCAGGACAGGCTGGGGATGAAGTCACAGGCTGGAAGAGGCCTGGGCTGGGGCTGCCACTCCAGGGTGGGGCCTGGGGTCACGACCCTGGGAGCAGGCAGCCAAGAAGGGAGGATGCCTTCCGTGAGGAAGCTGGGGAAAACACACACACAGCAGCGAAGGGAGGGAGGGAAGAAAACAAACTCCTGGAGACCAAAGCTGGCCTGGAGTTCGGCCTGGGCGGCCGATTCCTGGGGACCGACGCCACGTTGCAGGCAGCTCACAGCCTGGCGGCTCCGAGACCCTCCCTGGCCTTCCCCCAAGAGGCCCAGCGCAGGTGGTGCCTGGACATGGACAGGAGAGGGAGGCTGGGCCTGGGGTGCCAAGGGGCCCACAGCACTTGGGGAGCACAGGCCAAGTCAGGTACCGTGAGAGGGGAAACTGAGGCACGGGAGGGGGGCCAGTCAATGCAGGGGTTAAGTGTCTCCTAGACTCTGCTCCCACTTCCTGTTTCCTGTAGGTGGGGCTGAGATTACAGAGCAATTGGGGGTGATTATAGGGCTGATGCGGGATCTGGGGAGCCAGAGGCAGTGCAAGGGATGTCCTGGGCCATGAGGTTGCCTGAGCCAGGCTGGGGTACGTGGGCTTCTTGGGAGTATTGCAGACCCCAGAGCAGGCATAATGGAGGGGCAAGTAAGTGCTAGGTAGGGCCTTTGAAGAAAGAGACAAAGCGTGAGGAACAGAGAAGAGCAAGGAGAGCCAGCCTGGGCTATACCAGCCTCCCCCATACTGGGAAGTCCCAGGTGGACTGGGCAGTTTGATATCGTACATCCCAGGTCCCCAAAGCACGGGAGAAGCGAGCCTGGATGGGGCGGGGTGTGTGTGTGTTGCGGGGGAGGGTGGTCAGGGACAGCAATAGGCACTAAGGCCAGTCCTGGCATGATGAGGGAGGAATGCTTGGCTGGGCAAGTCCAGGATATGGCAAGAGGCAAGAGCTGGGGGCATGCACGGTGGGGGTGGGGAGGGGAGGGGGTATTAGAATCCAGAGGAAGGATGAGGGGCTCCCTGGCCTTGGAAAACCAACTCTCCCGCCTTGTTTTGTGGTCGGGGTCAGGCCCAAGGGCTGGGGTGGGATCCTGAGAGGAATGAGACCTCTCTTTGGGGATGGAGATGCCTCTGGCAGCTTGTGGGACACTGTGGTCCCAGATAGCTATTCTCTGGTCAGCACCTCCATTTCAGTTTAAAAAAAAAATGCTTTTTACAGAAGAGGAGTGCCTCGTGCTCATTTTCTCCTGGTCCTTACTCTTCCTTCCCCCCACCCCCAACAATTTATTTACCAATCTACCTGACCACGATTGACACTAGAATTTGTGACCTTGCCTTAGATACTCTAGAAGCACCTTTTGGGGTCCTCCATCATTCTCTGAGGCTCCCAAGGGGCTTTCGAGGCAGGTCTGGGAGGGGCGAGCTATTTCTGATCTCCCCGCCATTCCTCTGCATCTTCAGGAGGAAACCTGGGTCCGATTGCTGAGCCCCTCTAGGTCTCTGCTTCAGGTATCCCTCTGGAATGGACCTGTTGGACTACGTTCCTGATGGGGTTGTAAAGAGTTTAGGTAACCCCCAGACACACAACACCTTCCCAGAAGCTCCTCCCCGGGCTGTCCCCTAATAACCTAGTCACAGCAACCCCCTAGCCCCCATCTTCCCAGCCCCCTCTGCGGACTCACAGGTACTTGTGCTTAGCAACACAGGCTTGCTGATGGCAGTCAGGGACCTGTGGGTCCCTGGGCAGCTATTCCCTTTGGAATCCCCCTTTACCCAGTGGCAATGGGCAGGTTGGAGGAGGCTACCTATGAGGTGGCTTCCTGCACCCACATTCAGTTCTGCTTTATTGCTGTCTAAAGTCCACGCCAGGCCCCAGCCCCTCTTCCTGGAGCCTCCTTCTCAGCCAAGTCCCAGCCTGCCTCCTGCCCAATGTCCCCCAAAGCCCCCAATCAGGGGGTCACAGGTGCCAGCCTCCATCTGCTTGCCTAGTCTCAAGCCACCTCCCTAAACCCAGGTGAGTCAGGGCCGTCTGAGGCGCCCACTGCCAGGGGACCCTGATGACTCGGCCTGGGGACCCTCCTCCCCCTCCTCACCTTCAGGGCAAGCCACTCAGGAAAACCGCAGGGTGTTTTGTCGAAGAGTTCATTATAATTTTATCAATCAAATTCTTAGAAGAGGGAAAAAGTCTGCTCTCTCCACCCTCCCCCCTCACTGCCCCCCCCTTCACTCTCACTTTCTTCCATTCATAATTTCCTATGATGCACCTCAAACAACTTCCTGGACGGGGATCCCTGCTAAATATAGCTGTTTCTCTGTCTTACAACACAGGCTCCAGTATATAAATCAGGCAAATTCCCCATTTGAGCATGAACCTCTGAAAACTGCCGGCATCTAAGGTCTCCTCCAAGGCCCTCTGGAGTCCAGCCCATAATGAAGGTCTTGGCAGCAGGTAAATCCACCCGCCCCGCGCTGGCTTCCGCGCCCCGCTGCGAGTGCAGCGGCAACTTGGGGCACTTGGCGATTGCGAACGGGACACCCGCCCGCGGCAGACACACGGATACTTGGGGCGTCCGCGCAACCGGCCCGGCCGCTGGAGGCGCTGGGTGGCGGCTGGGGCGAGCGCAGGCACATGGTCCCGGCGCAGCGCGTCCAGCCCGTCCGCCCGGGGGCCAGCAGGTTGGCGGGCGAGCGAGGGGCGCCGCAGCCTTCTTCCACCTCCTGCTCCTCCTCTTCCTTCTGGAGCCTGCCACTCTCCCATGCTGCTCTTCCCGCTCTGCTTTCTCCCGGATTCACCCTCCCTCTCTCTTTCTTTCTGTCTTTCCGCTTTCTCTTTTCCAACCGCGTCCTGGGCTGCTCCCTGGGAGGGGCGCAGGCCGCCCAGCAGCTTGCAAACTCCGGCTGGGACAAAAGCAGGTGCTGCCTCCATCTGCTAGTGCCTGGAAAGCTGTGTTCTGTGCTAGGTGAGCTGGGGGCGTCGGGGGTGGGGGGCAGCCATCCCCGGGACTCAGCGCTGCCTGGGGATGCTGGGAGGTACAGGGGACCCAACAGAAGTGAACTTGAGGCTGCCGCTGTCCCAGGAAGCTCCCGTACCCTCTTCCCCGCAGCCTCGCCGGTTCCCCAGCCTCAGTGGTCCGCAGACCCCAGCCCTTACTGCTGAGCCCCCTGGAGAGACCCCTTTGCAGATAGCTATGAGTGAAGCGGGGCGGTGGGGAAGCAAGCGCGCCGGGGGAGGGGCGATCCAGGACCGGAATGAACAGCTCCCAGCTCTCCTCTCACCTTTCGCTTTCCTTCCTTCCCCGCCCACCTGGCTTCCTGCGACCTTTTCCCTTTTTTTCTGGTTGCACCATTTCCTCTCCTTCCCCAAGGCTCTGGGTGCCCGTGGCACCCCTGGATTCTCCTTGTCCTAACCCAGGGCCTGGGGCAAGGAGTAGTAGACTAGGGCCTGGGGGAGGGCATGGAGGCGAGGAGCTTTGCAGAGCTGGGGGAGAGAAAGTTTTGAATGATGATTTGGGGATGCATGAGGAAGCAGAAGCACAGAATTGGGGTGAAGTTGAGGGTCCTAGGAGAGGAGTGGTCCTATTTAGAGGACAGCTAGAAGATATGGGAGGAAGAGACAGAATTAGGGGCCAAATAACCCAGGGAGACCAAATCACGTGACAGGTTTGGGAGGGAGAAGACGGTCATCGGAGGACAAGCCCCTCTGTTTCCCTGTGGACCTCCTGGGAGCCTAATTCGAGAGATACAGGCTGCAATGGGCCAGTGAGCATGAAGCAATGCTGAGGAATCTGGGCCATCCCGGGAGGTGGAAAGATGGGGCCTTACTTTTCCTTGAGATGCCCTGAGCTTAGGCACTGAGCTTTCCAGTCAGAGGGCCAGGAGGCCTCAGGGGCTTTAGCCTTCCCAAGGAAAAAGGCTGGATGACTGGCGTCACTCTGGACCCGTATTCCAACTGGTAGGGACGGCTCATGCCCTGCCCCTTCGCTCCTTCTCTCAGGAGAAGGCAGGGAGAGAGAAGCGGAGATAGAGAGTTAGAGATCTGGAGAGAGAGGGAGACAGAGAGAAGCAGATGCAGTGATGTGGTGAGAACTAGAAAAGGCCAGGCCAGGGGAAAATCGAGCTGGAGGCTGTTGTCCCAGAGAAGATGAGGAACATTCTCCCCATCTGCTCATGACTTACCTTTGCCTGTTCCCAGGAGTCGTCCCCCTGCTGCTGGTTCTGCACTGGAAACACGGGGCAGGGAGCCCCCTTCCCATCACCCCCGTCAACGCCACCTGTGTCACACGCCACCCATGTCACAACAACCTCATGAACCAGATCAGGAACCAACTGGCCCAGCTCAACAGCAGTGCCAATGCCCTCTTCATTCTCTATGTAAGTCACCCCCCAGTTATCGAGGATGGAGGGAGGGCAGAGGGGGTTCGCTGCACTGACCCGGGCTGACAGGGTCCTTTTGGAGTTGGAAGGAAAGAACGGGGATGGGGCTTGGTCCAACCGCACCAGCCTCTCACAGCTTCTGCCCTACCCCCAGCATAAGCTCGGAGACTGGAAGTCACTTTTCCAGGGTGCCCAGTTAGGAAGGGCAGAGTTGGTGGGAGATGGGAGGCCTTGTACTTCTAGACCTGGGGGTCCATCATGTGGAGCAGGAGGCTGGTGGTGAGAAACAGAGAAGAAAGAGGTAGTGATGTGCACGGGGAGGTGAGGTTGGGAGAGACAGTAGCTGTATGTGTCTGGGGGTACAGAGCCGCCCAGGAAGAGGGTGAGTGCCGTGGGTGAAAGGGCAAGTGTGTGGCGTACCTGCCCTGGGGGAAACATGGCGTTTTCCTTTCTGTCCCTATATGGTCCTGATGAGGAGGATGATGGTGATTATATACCTTTTGTGGAACAGGCCTTGATTCTTTATCAAGTGCATTCATACCCATGATTACCTCTGGCTCTCATGACAATCTCGAGATATTTATAGGAAAAGTAGTTGGGTCCCTATGCCACAGGTGGGAAACTGAGACCCAAGGGCTCACCCAGAGGCTTGGTGACAGGGCCGGAACACCCATCCCTAACTGCCATGTCTCCTTCCCTCTGCCTCTCTGTTCCTCAGTACACGGCCCAAGGGGAGCCATTCCCCAACAACCTGGACAAGCTGTGTGGCCCCAACGTGACAGACTTCCCACCCTTCCATGCCAATGGCACGGAAAAGGCCCGGCTGGTGGAGCTGTACCGCATCATCGCGTACCTTGGCGCCTCCCTGGGCAACATCACACGGGACCAGAAGATCCTCAATCCCAACGCCCTCAGCCTCCACAGCAAGCTGAATGCCACCACAGACACCATGCGGGGCCTCCTCAGTAACGTGCTATGCCGCCTGTGCAGCAAGTACCATGTGGCCCACGTGGAGGTGGCCTATGGCCCTGACACCTCAGGCAAGGATGTCTTCCAGAAGAAGAAATTGGGCTGTCAGCTCCTGGGGAAGTATAAGCAGGTCATCGCTGTAGTGGCCCAGGCCTTCTAAACAGGAGGTCTTGAAGCGTGCAGTGACCCCAGATCTTAGACTCAGGTGGCTCTCAAACTGTGGCTGGGGTCTGAAGTATCGACGAACCCAAGTGTGGGCTGCTGGCAGACCCTTTGCATTCCTGACCTGTCCACTCCCCTCCAGGGTGGACTGATAAAACTGGGCAGAGTTACAATTCCCATAGGCAGGGCCTATATACAACCGTAACTAGAAGAGGCATCCCTTCTTCTGGGAGACTGCAGCCAGGCTCCATGGTGCCAGGCTGGCGAGGGGAGTGTGGGCTGGACTTCTGCCCCACTCGTCCCCTCAGCTGGGGCTTTGTGAGCCAACTGAACAAATGGTCTACGGGGACCCTGACCACAGGGCGAGATGGCAGGTGTCAGGGGAATTGCCCGGCCCCCAGCACAATGACCATCATCATTGCCGTTCCTTCTCCTTAGGTAGACTTTAAAGGTGTGTTTGGAACTCGGGCAAGCCAGAGGGGCTGGGATCCCAAAGGACTCCTTGGCCCCTGTAATTGTGGTGAATGGGAGTTAGAGAAGGGAGCTCTGTTTGAGATGCTGCCTTCTCTTGAGTGTGCGTGATTAGAGAGCTCAAGCCTAGGGACTGTTAGGTAGAAGGTTCCAGAAGGAGGCCACTGGCCTTCAGGCTCCTGGGGAGGCAGAGAAGCCACCTTCAGGTCTGGGAAGGAAGTTACTGGAAGGAAGAGAGGCCCTGAAAGCCTTGATGGGCTCTCCTTCCTCTTCCCTGTAGTCTTTCTTGCAGCCCAAGATGGCCAAGGTATGGTGGCTGGACCTGGAGGTGGGGGTATGTGGAGATGAGCAGGTGGCAAAGTCAGGCGAGGAGGTTTGAGGGGACCCAGAGTCTTCCCTCTGGGCAAGGGTCTGTAAGGGAGAGGATGGACTGGATAGTCCAGAGTGACAGCTCACATCTGAGGCCCATGGAGGCCCTGTGAGGTCACACAAAGGTACTTGAGGGGGACAGGGGCCATCTCTGGTCCCCAGAGCGAGGGGACAGCAGAACTTGAGGTCAGGGTCTCATGGAAGCCTGAGATCCAAGAGTGCTGAGTGTCTGATCCAGCACAATTATCTATTTATTATGATGCCCTATTTATATTAACTTATTGGTGCTTTAAATGGCAAAGTTAATTCCCCTTTCCCTGCTCCCTACCCAACAGAAATAATATGATAGCTCCTTCCATAGGAGCCAGCGCCAGGCCTTAGCAATGCTTGGTCTGGAAGCTGAAGATGTTACAAGTGGGATAAGCCTTATGGATGAAGCTCAGAGAAGGGTCACAATCTGAGAGAACTGGTCAGCCTGGGTGGGGGGTGGGGGACCCAGCTCCATCCCCCCACCCTAACTTTGGGTGTCAGCATCCTGTCTGCAAGGCAGGCTGGGCCAGTTTGTGCAGTGGCCTTTTCCCAGGACCACCATGTTGCTTGGCTCCAGGGGATCATTCTACACGGTGTCTTCTGGTGCCCCTGGAACTGTGTTTCATGGGGTAGTGGGCAAAGCAGCTCTGGTGGTTGTTTCCTTGTCTCCATGCTGCTTGCCTATAGACTAGCAGTTGAGGGGCCCTGAACCAGCGCCCAGCATGCTCACACACAGCGGGGAAGCTCCTTCTCGGGCGGCTGAACACCCACAGAGGGCGAGAGGGCCTGGCTGGACCTCAGGAAGTTTAGGGAGGAGGCCCCTGCTCTGGAGAGGAGGACATGGAGGCCCTGGGACATGGACCAGGAAGCTGTGGTCCCTCTGGCCCCACCTCCCCCCACGCCCCCACCCATGTCTGGGCTCCCAGGCAGGGAACCTGATCTTTTCCTTTGTGCCGGGGCCAGGCTAGTGGAGAACCGCCCTCCAGTCTGGGAGCAGGGGAGGAGGGCGCAGAGCTGGGGCAGCTGCTAAGAGCAGCTTCTGGCTTCTTCTCAAACCCTAAGCGGGCTGCAGTCCGAGCAGTTCAGCCAAGGAGATTATGGTACTTTGCACTCACTTTGCACCTCTCTCTGTCTTCTCTAAGCACTTTATCACACCCACTGGCTGGCAGGTGAGCAGGCAGCAGGCAGGCCCTGAGGCCTGGGGTGGGGTTGGGGGCCAGAGTGAGAGTTGTCTGTCCCATTGGCTAAGATGTGACGTGAGGGGTGGTGGAGGCCCTGGCAGTCGCATGCGTTCCTCTGCTGTCTTAACGTGGCTCCAGATCTCAGCCTACTGCCCCCGTCGCTCTGCTCCTTCAGTGACCATGGCTCAGCAGGCTGGGGGCCTGCTGGGTCACCATCATCTCATCACCTCATGTCCCATGCCAGGGTCACCTGGGCAGCCTCTGAGGCTCGGGGACCAAGAAAATCTTTTCTGGGCCTGATACAGCCCCGGGCTCCACATGCCGTGGCTGCCCATGCCCTCCCCTCCTCAGCCCCTTCCCACTCTGCCCCTCAGCACCCACCCCTCCTCTGCTCTTTCCAGAACCAGGCCGGCTGATCAGCACCCACTTTGCACAGCATCCTTGAATTATGGATTCTCTGTGTGGAAAAAGCTTTGCAGAGCAGGAAGCTGTCCTCTCTCTCATTTTTCATCCGCTGGTGGTGCCCCTCACTTGCACAGTGGGTCTCGGGCTGGGGACCTGAGGAGGAGGACGATGCCATCAGCAAATGAGGGGGTAGGACAGTCATTTTGAAGTTTACTGAGAGAGGAGTATTGGGGACCTTATTTATTTAGAAAAAATTTAAACAGAAAAGCACCGCTAGTTTATTCGTCTCTCCTCCTTGTCACCATCCTCCTCCCTCTTCTTGTCCCCTCGTCGGGAACATCGCCCTTGACAGAAGCAGTCCAGCCTGGAATCCAGTGACAATTGAATTTCCCTTTAGATGGTACAGATGTTCTTACCTTCGGATCACTCCCAGTCCCCCCCAGATCCTGGTGCCTGGGTGTCTCTCCCACCCACATTGCTAGCTCCATGCTCTGTGCATCCTTCCGTATTTCCCTCCTTCCTTTCTACTGGAAAGGACTTGGCCTTGGGGGACAAATTCCTCTTTGATGAATGTACCCTGTGGGAATGTTTCATACTGATAGATTATTTTTATTTATTCAATGTCATATTTAAAATATTTATTTTTTTATACTGAAGGAATTTTTTTTTTTTTAAGAAAAAAGAAATTAATAAAGAATCTGCTCTTGGCAAGCTCTTCCAAGTGTACTCATGTGGGGAGACGGGGCTGGAAGGTCCGGGAAGGTCTCTGGCCTGAGTATCCAGTTCAGCGGGACTCTGCTTGGTGAAGGGCTTCTACCTGGCAAGGGTGCCAGTTTGGGCAGGGGTGGGGTGGGTGGAACTTTGGCACAGGAGAACAAGGTGGGTGGGGTTCCAGATCATGGGGTGCTGCCAGAAAAGGGATGGGCTGCCCAAAAGTGGGGAGGGGTATTAGTTGATGTCTTAGCACCGTCACTCCCAGCCCCCCACTTACTGCTCACTGTAGTCCCACGAGTCCCTCAGAGCCATCATCCCCATTAAACAGAGGGGGAAACTGAGTCTCAGAGATATAAAGCTACTCGCCCGAGGTCACACTGGCAGGGTGTTTAGGGCCACCCTTCTGTTTCCAAATCTCATGATTTTTTCTCTACATGGAAATTCAGAGACTTAGAAGATACTAGCTGCCGAGACCTCTGTCCTCAAGAAATGGTCCATTGACCATCTGAGGGTAAATAAAGGCAACAGGTGTGATGATTTTGGAGCAGGAAGTTCAAGGGTCCTGTTCAGAATCAAGTAAGATGCTGGGAGCAGAATATGGGCTTTGCCCGCCGGCTCTTCTGAGCCCGAGTAGCTCTCCACAGCGGACACTGCAGTCCCTCTTCCTGTCTCATACCTAAGGAACCCCTTCCACTGCAACCTTCTTCCCAACCTCCTGCGATCCCTTTTTTGGGGAACAAGAGAAGTCGGAACCAGATGGCCACAGACACAGGAGCAGCCCCAGATGTCTCCACTGCCCTTCGCCGTGGGGTTTGGGTCTGGACTCCCTGAGCCGAGATTCATTTAGGGAGTGGGCAGTTTTTCTGAGAGTTACCTACTCACTTGTTCATGAATGTTTTTAAGTGTCAGGTCCTGTGTTGGGTTCCAAAGGTGAATGGGATACCGTCTGTGCCTTCTGGCAGCTCCCAGGCTAGTGAGGACAATGAACGAGCACATCCAAGGCGATGTGACCAACGGAAGAGGCACATAGAAACGGCCAAGGCCAAAGTGGAGAGACCACTCAGTACCAGCAGGGGGCTCAGGCCTTGGGTCTCTCTGCTTTCTGTGCAATGGAGGGGCTTGACCCACATCAGGCAACCTTGGCCTCACCTGGGAACTGATCAAGAACACAGAATCTTGCTCCCTAGACCCAAAGTCAGAATCTGCCCTTTAACAAGATCCCAGGCTATTCATATGCACTTTAAAGTCTGAGAAAGGCCACCCTGCACTCCTTCCATCTCTCACTCCTCCTGAGTTGATCAAGAAGCCAAGTGCACATCGCCAAGGGCAACGCAGGCAGCTGCTTGGGAGGGAGAGGCCGGCTGGCCTCTGGGAGCCAGACCCACAGCTGTTTCAGACTCTTCCTCCAGCAGCTCCAGGGTCTCAGGCCCCTCCCAGCCAGCTAAATCCTTCACTGCCAGCCACACCCTGCCATCACCCATCCCCTTCGCTCATGGGAAACGAGGCTGAAGCTTTTCAAAAGAAACCTTCACTAGGAAACTATAGGAAAACAAATGCCAAAGCACAGAAATGAGGGAAGCACAGAAATGGCAGATCCTAACCGTCCTAACTGTCCTGTGGAGCTGGCTGGGCTGCCTGGACACTCAGGTTCTTCACCACCTCTGTCTGGGGAGTTCTCAGTCCCAGCAGGTGTCCTGTTCTCTGCTCTGCCCCAGTTGGAGACAACAAAGGACTGTGACTTAGTTATTGGGTCACCCCCCCCCCTCCACCAATAAGAGGGGAAAACAATCACTTGGTGGGAGGAAGGAAGGCCCCCTACTCTGCTGGGAAAACCCCTCCTCCCCACCCCTTGAGACCTGGGTCCTCTGCTGCCTCTGCCACATGTAGTCCTGGGACCCTCCCAAGTGAGCTCAGCTCCCTTATCTGTGAAATTGCAAGAGGAATCGGTGATGAACGCTGTCCTATCTACTTCACAGGGTTGACAAAGGGAGCCTATGAGACAGAAATGCATGAATCGGTACTGGCCGGCTCATCCACAGGTGGAGATGGAGAAAACAGAATGAATCTCAGACACCGGAGTCCTCTCTACCAGGGAAAAGGGGTCCTCTCCCCCAGCGGATGCAGAAGAAAGAGTCCAAGGCCAGGCGGTGCGGGCAGGCTGGTGGAGAAGGGGACAAGCGGGATAAACAAACTACCAGCTGATTGCTCCCCTGACTGTTCCGGAGTCCCGGGCCTGGACAAGACCTGAAAAGACAGACTGCCTCACCTTAGGAAGGTGGTGGAGCTAGGGGCAGCCCAGATACCCAGTGGGCCTTCTCCCATTCTGGCTCTTGGGAGGTCAACAGGACATGGGGGACACCTCCCCCCACCCCAAGAAAATGATGACTAACAGCGATCCCACTGGACACATAAGCCCACAGGCTCTGTACTTTCCAGTTGACAAGCGTTTATTCACCCATCATCAGATCCTCCTAGCCATTCTGAGAGTGGGGCTAGAGGACTGTCTCCATTTTACTGGTTGAGGAAACTGAGGCTCCAGGAGGCTAAGGGACTATCTTGACATCACTCAGCCTGTGATGTTCATCCTCTGTCATTTGCCTGGTCAAGACCAGTAAGGAGCTCCATGAGCCAAGCTTTATATCCAAGGAGCTCAGGCTTAGAGGTAGAAAAAAAGAAGAGGATTTCCCAGGTCACTTCTGCCCTAAATTCAGACTATGCAGAAGGGGAATTCACTTATCATGCTGAACAACCACATTTTCAGCAATAAAATTAACGTCATAATGGAATCACATTTCTTATTTATAGTCCTTTTTGTTCTAAACAGCATGCAAAGCAGTTTACAACAAAAGACATGTAACAAAAATACTGATAAAACAGATAAAGTGAATCGGCATCAGAGAAGATATTCACAGAGTGAGAAAACTAAGACCAAGTGTAAGAAAGAAAATAAATGTTTTCAGTTCACAAGGGGTCAGACAATTACCATGGCTGAGCTTCAAAGTTGGCTCTGAGATGCCTGGCAGCTAAAGGAAAAAGGGAAATGTGATTTGTAATCAAGGAGTTCTCACAGACAGAAAGGAGGAGGTTTTCTCAAGCCTTGGGGAAAACAGAGCCTATCCTGGGGCTATCCTGAGACTCGTGGTGGGTAGTGGGTGAAGTGCTGGGCTCCACGTATAGTGAGTAGATTCCTTGGGGCTGTTTCTGCAGTGGTCTTTGCAAACACTAATGCTCGACATTCAATGCAACCCAATGAAGGGCATTCTGGAAGAGCTCCAGGATGACCGTGGCACAAACTGGGGCTTTTGCTTGACCTGACCTGAGTGGACTTCTGAGTCCAGAGGGTAAGGCAGAGGCTGAATATGCCTCAGGAGTTCCCTCTGTCCCCAGGATTTTGAAAAACCTTTTTATTGATGTATATTCTACCTACAGCGTGGACATCAGTTAATTCCTCCCTCCTGCATGACTGTGAGGCTGGAGTGACGCCAGGTGGTGCTTGAAGAGAGGGGTGGGAAGGATGGACGGAAGCAGGGATTTGGGGGTGGGTGGGCCTTGAGTTTCTGACCTCACCTCATTCCAAGGCCACTTGAGGCCTCTGGGGTCCAGCAGAAGACTTTCTGTTGGCCGCTGGCTTCAATGTCCAGGGTACTTCCTGCGCCCCCTCCTGCCGAGCACGGCCCAGCTTGAATCCCTCCCTTTGACTTGGGGGAAGCACCGCCCTGCTCTGGCCTCATTTCAGGGGCCAAATATTTCAATTATGAGGACGTGGTCAAGCCCTGCCCACTCCAGCCTCAATGACGGGGTGGTGAAGAGAGGGTGTCTCTAAGGGAAGAGGTGGGTGGCGTGCAGCGGGAGCCGCAGACGGGTGAGGGGACGGGGTGCTCAGCGGGGTTAACCGAGCAGACAGGCCTTCTCTGCAGACTGAGAACAAAACCACCAGCCGGAGGAAAATATGTGTGAGGCATTTTTGTAATTCCAAAAGGCTCGGTCCAGCTCTTGCCCAGACGGTCAATGAATCAAAGTCGGGAAGGGCTTACCTGTCAGCAGGCTTTCTCCTGGCCCCACTCACCAAGGTCCCACCCCTCTGGTCCCAGTAGGCCAGCTGGAAGCCTCCCAGGTCTCCAGAAGGATGGTCCTTTGAAGAAGAGTGTGTCACAAAGGCCAGACATGGGCAGCCCACAGGCAGAACTTTTGGCATCTTCCTTTGCCTGTTCTTCTGGCCTCATCGATGAGAGGGACATAGCAGGCATCATCTGCCACAGTGGGTTAAATGGTGGCCCCTGAAAAGGTATATGTACATCCTAGTCCCTGGAACCTGTGCATGTGTCCTTATTTGGAAAAAGAATCTTTGCAGATGTAATTAAGTTAAGGATCTTGAGGTGAGATCATCCTAGATTATCCAAGTGTGTCCTAAATCCAAGGACAGGTGTCCTTATAAGAGACACACAGAGGAACAAGAGTGGAGAAGGTCATATAAAGGCAGAGGCAGAAACTAGAGTGATGCAGCCCCAAACCAAGGAATGCCTGGGGCCACCAGCGGCTGGAAGAGGCAAGGAAGGGTCCCCCCTAGAATCTTCGGAGGGAGCTCGGCCTTATCGACCCCTTGGCTTTGGACTTGGGCCTCTATAACTGTGAGAGAATAAATGGCTGTTGTTTTAAGCCACCCAGTTTTGGTAAGGTGTTAAAGCAGCCATTAATCTACCCATCTATCCCCCTCCGAGGGGCCATGCATTTTCATTTTGCAGATCATGAAGCTGGTCCCACCCAGCTTAACTTTCTCGGCTCACCTCCCCACTTCCCCTGTCCTTCTGGCCACAGTCCTGGCTCGGTGGTCTGTTAAATGTCACATCTTTTCGCCTTTCCAAACAACTTTGCTCTGGTTCTTCCCTTGGTCTAGAATGCCCTTCCTCTTTTGCTGCATGGAATATACTTTCTGGTTCTTCGAGGCCTGGCTCAAGTGTCACCTCTTCCAT